TCTTGAACTCTTGTAGGATACAGTATCTCCCTGAGAATTGTATTGCAGTGGTAAATACTGTAGCTGTGCTGCAGTACTGAAAAATTTGTGAAGTGTGTTAGCCACCAGTGATGCTGCCAGTCTCTCTGCCATTACAAAGATTTTTATTTGCACTGTTTTACTGTCTGTTCATGGTGAGAGGAATAAATGTCCAATGTCCTTAATATTTTTCATCCTCTTCAAAACACAAAACAGATTTCCATTTGGTGCATCAGTAATATAAGTAGGCTATAAGGTAGATTGGAGTATTTTTTCTTTATTAAACTAACTTCCCTTACCTGTGTTTATCTGTAAATGCAGCAATCTCTGCTGCATTCTCTCTCTGTACTCTGGTGAGGATCACTATGCCTTTTGGCACAGGCAAAAAGAATCATATATAGCCTGCCCTTTCTTGTTTTTATGAACTAAATTTTTTATGAGGGCTCTTAATATGACATAACTACCTCAAGACCTCTCCTGCGGCACTTCACAAATCTTGTGGATTTCACAAATACAACCCCAGAAATTTTATATTTTCTTGTCACTCATGTTAGTCTGCGTCTGTGACACACAGGCAGTATAATCCATTTTCTTGAGATTCTGAATTCATGGTTTTAAGTGCATGATGGAGTTTAGGAGGAAAATGACTTTTTTCGGGGGGTACATCTATTTAACTGTCAGTATGGGTGAATATTGTGCTCTTTCAGCCTTGTGAGGAAGGTACAGAGAGCCATACGGTCATAGAGCATTGCTCCATTTGCTCCTTGTCATTCCTGTAAAGTATGGAACCTTTCTCGGTTGGTCACTTTAAGGCTTTATCACTTCTATGTCAAGTCTTTAGATAATATCTTAATGTTGTGTCCACGCTAGTGCTCTTTGATTCTCTGCAGTTACTTTAAATTTCACATCACGCCCGCAGGAGATGTCACCACTTTAAGGCTGTCTGATACTTCATGACCTTGACACTTTCCCAATGTCCCCGCACAGTTCTAATGCTTCTCTCCGTCATTATCAGCTTTTGATTGCGTGACAGTATCAGGATAATTGACAAGTTTTGGTCTCCCAGGTTTGGAGGGCCTGCCTGTGCTGTAGGAACCATTGAGCTGTGAAACCAAGTGAGTGAATTACCTCAGGAAGCAGTGATAGCAAGCTTGGTGTGCAGAGGGGTGTTCGGTGAAGGTCAAACTGAAAATCATGCACTCGCTGAATTATCAAAGGTGTGTTGAGGACACTTGATACAGAAAGCATGTTTTGATTTACCTTTTACATTAAAAAATGATATATTATTTTGATTTATAAAAATGCTAATGTGTCACACTAAAAACGGCAGACCTTGACGGTTTTTCTAGTTACGGTACGATTAGTTGTGCACAACAGATGCCAATGGGTCTTATGAATGTGTCTCAGGACAATTTTCTTGGCTCGCAGATAACAAGAGACAAACGCTGAATAGGATGCAAAGTTTAACCAATCTGATGGAAGAAGGTGAGATTGAAATTGATTTGAGCTACAGATTATCAGATTGCAGGCCCCTCAGTAATTACTAGCATGAAACAATTGGGAGAGATGTGAATGAGATAGGACAGTGCACTTAATTCATCTTAATTTTAATCAGCTGATAAATCAAAATGCTTAATGTAATAATCAAATTAGTTTAATTCTGTTGCCTCTCATTGAAATATCAAAGTGAAGTAGATCAAAGTGCAGTTTGATGAAATGGAGATTTATTGTCTTTTCCATGACAGATTTAATAGGAAGGCTCCTTACAGTCCGGCAGCTTTAACATCTTCACAGGATTTTTCTTCTTTTGAACACCTTGACCTTGATCGCTCGCTTCAGTGGAATCACACACTGCAAGGCCATTTGAACAACAGTCATTCCCTTTCCTTTTATTAATGTGCTTTACAAGAGTTACTTCTGCAGGAGGCAACTTAGTTTCATGGTGGAACCCAGGAAGAGGAAGCTAGAACTACTGACAAAGGATCTCCTGCACCCCTTTTTGGTTCCTAATTGTCAGCATTGCTAAGCTGGTGTGTGAGTTGATGGGACAATGAAATTTAAACCTCTGTGATGGAAACCTGTCTTTCCTCCACCAACCCCCAAGGTTTGTTTATTTGTGTGCAGCAGGCACAGCTGCTCAGATGACCAGAAAAGGTCAGGTTTTTACAATTTAGGCTCATTTTAGCTGAAACAATTACCTTTCATCCTTTCATTTCATTTTAGCTCAAATAAAAGAGCTGCCCTTTCTCTGAGAAGGGAAATAAACAAATGATGTGTTTGTAAAGTCATCCAGATATCTTGTCATTTTTTTTTTTTTTGTTCTCGCTTCCTACTAACCAGATGGCAGTCAGATTTCAGACACAGAGTTCTGGAAGACAATCAAGGAACAAGATTGCTTTTTTAGAAAGGGGGATTGGTTTAACTAGATGTCAAATTAAAGGGCTTTTCACATACACACACACACACACACACACACACACACAGATGAGTACTTGTTCCCGTGGCCACGTGTGTGTGTTTCAGGTGTGCCCGTGTTTTTGGGGGTTGGCTCTTGCTGTGAGGCAGCGAGGTCATGTGCAGAAATCTTTCTCAGAGCACCCCCCGATGGAATACCGCACCGCTTTTAAGGTCAACTGCACAAACTCTGCCTCACAGGTTGATACAGGGACTCATGAATGTTTGATTGGTCTATTATCCCGGCCGGGCGGGGACATTCATCCACCGGTCCTGGAGTTCAAATATTCCTTTTAGTCTGACATTTCTCCTACACAGTTTGAAGCAAACCCCCAGTTTCACTCTCTTACCGTGCTGGCCTTCATCTGCAGTCCTGTCATCTCACCGTAGGGCAATTCTACAGAATGTGTTTTTAAGACCGGTGCAAGTGCACGCGCTATGGTTTCAGGTGGGTGGAACTGTGGAATTGATACTCAGTCATTCCGACACTCCTCTTCCTCCTCTGCAGGGTGGATAAGGATCTGGCCATCCATCTTTGTGTCTCACCCGTGTCAGCTTCAGGTAGCAAACGTGGGTAACTGGTAGTCGGAGACAACAAGAACAAAGCAGAAACATTACTTTAATCTCTCATGCTGTTAATTCCTACCTCTGCCATCATCCAGGAGGCAGAGCTTTGTGTATCGCAGCTTTCCCCTTATGAACAATCCATCACTGTTAGTGCTTTTCTCTGGAGTGTGGTTGCTCCTTTCTTTTTTCACCTGTTCTCTACTGTGCTTTGCTTTCAAAAGATGACGCTCGCGGAAAGGACTGCAATCCATTGTATTCCACAGTTGACTGTTCAGACATATTTTCAAATCTCGAGGAATCTTGCCACTCCTCGCACTGGAATAAAACGCACATGAGCAGTCATATTTTTATGAGGAAATGCTGCTTTGCATTTTTTATGTAGATCTCTTAATAGGCTTTCAACAGTACGTCCGGAATCCATAATTGACACCTGCTGTCGGGCTCTGGTGGTGATTACATAGGAAAAGGATTTGACCTGTAATGAACTGTGAAACTAATGACATCTGTGTGAAATTACTCAACTTGAAAGCAAACTGTTGTACATGAGGTCCCATCAAGCGTGATATTAAAATGTCCACTTTTACATCTTTCCGCTCAAGCTCTGTACAAGCCCGGGCTATTGGACCCAACGTTATGGAAACCTGAGGCTAATGACTCAAACAGACAGCCGTAGGCATTAGACAACTTCATTTATGAAATAGTCAACCTCCCGTGTAGCGATACATTCACATTACCCTGCCTCACTTGAGAGAAGCACTGCTGTCACAGTCTCTGAGCAATGCTGATGTCCTTTCCTACCTGCATTCATCTTACTCTCAGGAGGTAATGGTCTTCTCAGGTCATTTGCGCATTAGGGTCTCGATCAATCATATTACCTACCTGCAATCCTGTGGTCCTCTGCAGGAAACAAGGAAAACATACATGCTCTAAATCATTCAGTTGCACTTTTTCTTTTTTTTTTTTACCACAGCTCTCTGCTGGCCTCATGAATGTGCAGGATGTGTTTAAATGATCTGTGTGTACTTTGAAGGCTTGTGCCAATTGTATGGAAAAAACTTAAGGTTTGCTTCTAAATTATTGAATCATAGTCACCTCCTTGTGTGGCAGTATCACTTTGCGCCCTCATGGTCATAATGCCTGGTAGGTGGCACCGGGGGTGTCTGTGAATGTAAAACAAGTGAGACCATGCAGACAGCTTGACAGGCAGGTCCGACAGCCTGACAGAAGACGGGCGCACTAGTCCCTTTAATGGAGATAATTCAGTCCCATCCAACATATGTACACCCATCAGTCTGCTCACGCTGAATGCAGCCTGTTCAACATTTGTATGATGTTGGAAAAATTACGTGGTTGTGCTTAGCTGCCCCATCGGGTCAGCGTCGTGCATGATTTCCAAAGAGCTTCTTTTCTATGTATCTTGAGTATGAATTGTTTGAACGTGGGTTTAATGCTGTGTCTGCATTCAGTATTTAAGTCCATTTTGATAAGGAGAACAAAACACAAGTGGGTGTTACTGAGGCCCACAGACTAAAACAACCTCTCCTGGGTTTGGCATCCCACTGTTCCCTTCCCCTTTTGCTTTTACTCAGTGTGATTCTACTCCTCATATGTTTCACAAGCTGTTTGGTTAACAGAGGTCACAGTGGATATGTAGCACGCTTGGTCACGACGTGAAAGCATTAGCCGGTGCCAGCAGGTGTGTAATTATATATGAAACAGGGCTTGAAAAGAGGAACATCATAACGGCATGTAGAAAGTAGGCCAGGATGCAGAGACTTCACAAAAGTCCTATTTATTCTTCACCCACTTCAAATGTGTGACTTTATATTTGAAGTTGTGAAATAATCCAAGCGCACTGTAACTATTTAAAGACCATTTAAAAAACCATTAAACACAATAACTTAGCATGATAAACATGTCACTTCTTTAAAAGTTTATTTTTTCTTGATTTTCTGTTTCAGATACGGCGACATGGTGCCAAAAACAATCGTGGGTAAGGTGTTCGGGTCTATATGTTCTCTGAGTGGGGTGCTGGTCATCGCCTTGCCCGTCCCTGTCATAGTGTCAAACTTCGGCCGTATCTACCACCAAAGCCAGCGTGCAGAGAAACGACGGGCCCAGAGGGTACTGACTGCCCCCCCCCCCCCCCCCCCCCCCCCCCCCCCCTCTCCCTCTCCTCCACCTTTATTTGGCATCTACAGTATCTCCCTCTTTCCTCTGCCCCTGCCTTATCCAAACGCACCAGAATGACAGGGCAAACGCTGTCTTCCAGAATATTAATCTTTTACTGTGCTTCTGTGTATGTGTGTATTGGGTGGACTAAACTTGCTTGAGTACATTTCAGTGAGAGAAAGAAATAAGAGAGGGAATGACAATGACTGAACAAATGATCCTCAGAGTATTGTGTCAGCAGCTTTTCAATAGCAATATGTGCATTTCTTTCTAAAAGTGTTTGCAAAGGCAGGATTTTATAATTGTATATTTAAGTGTAGCCTCTCCCCACTAAATATTGTGGCTGCCAGAGGGGGACAGAGCCTATTAGTGTGACAGACAACCTGTCAGTGTCTAAAACAGAGGTCTGTTTGTTCAAACAGAAAACTCGGCTTGCTAGAATCCGTGCTACGAAGATTCGAAGCACTAATGCCTATATGCGCTACAAACAAAATGGGCTCCTGTTCGACTCACTGGAGGAGGTAACGGGGCCAAGCAGCGGCATGGGTGCACACTAACTGGGGCCTCGCTTGCATGCCGCTCTGCTCGGGGTCCATGCCACCACACCTGGGCGGGGGGAGGGGGCAATGACTTGTCATGCTGTAACGTGGCCTGTTGTCATTCCAGTGCTTCAATGTGATCGTCTTCTCTCCTACATCACACCTCTCAGCCGCAGCATTGACATGCGTTGTCCACACTCTCTGTCCATACAGCAGGAGAGCCAGGCAGGCACACCTGCCTTCTGGTGGAGCACAACCATTACAGTCACACCGACTCATGACCAAGTTGTGCATGTCTGTCCAACAGGGTTTGGAGGGGAAGGAGGGGACCAGAGGCTTACTGGACAGTGGGTTGCCTAAGGGGGTCTGCTCAGCCCGCATCTCCTCTAAACTCTGTTTTCGAACTGCTGTGTGCCCTGGGTGTTATTTCTAGAGCATCCAGGTTGTAGTGCAGACTAACACAACATACTTTCCATCTCAGTGCCGTGCAGAGCTTCATCAAAGTGTGTAGTGCTGTTGTGGTGCAGAATCTGTGCTGTGTTTGGTCTGTTCGATCTGTGACTAGGTGTGCCACTGCTCTTGCACTGAGATCAGTTCAGTTCTAATTTGAATTTTCCGGTCCCATGCACCAAATCATTGAAAGAATGGCAAAACCAACTGTATCATTGAAACATGTTGTCTCTCTGTGCATCTCTAAAACATCCCATTTCACCAGGTTCTCAGTAGACTGGCTGCCGTGCTACAGATCAGATTCTCAGCCCTCAATGCTTTGCCTACATCATGAGCTAGTATCTGTTGCTTGAGACTGTTTCTGTGCAGTCTCAACCTTCTCATCTCCATTGTCTTTTTTACTTTGTCTTTTTCAAGGCCTCTAAGGAGTCAGGACAAGCCCTGGTGAGAAAGGCCCTCAGCCCTCCTTTTGAGAGCCAGCATCATCACTTGCTGCACTGCCTGGAGAAAATCACGGTAAAATCCTGTTTTTCTAAAAAGCCGTGTCCACTGAGAAAACACAAACATATAGGCATCTTTCATTTTACTATCTTGGTAACAGACTTTACACAGTTTAAAATAGCTGTGTAAAAAAAAAAAAAAATTTATTTTCCTTTTATGTAGAATTGCATCATTCCTGCAGTCTGTGCTGTATCATCAGTGGTGCCAGCCTGTTATAGTGTGTTGCAAATAGAAACAACGTGGGTTTTTTTTCCATCCAGTCACAAACTGTAGAATCTATTTTGTACGCAGCATGATTTAAAAATAGCGCTAAATGGGGCTGGGAAATGTTGAATTCCCTTGCCAGCAACATGCTAAAGATAACAGCCAGTAACATTATTGCTTCTAAAGGACTAGCATACTTTATTGTACACTGTCTATGATTTATAGATGTTAGAGCCGTTTTAATGTGCGGTTGTGACATGAGTTTTACACTTGCAGCTCTAAACCTTACACAGAGACATGGACAGTTAGTAAATCAGTGTTTACTGCTTGTGCTCATTGAAGGTTTCATGCTATTCAGAATGCAGTGCACATGTTTACATCAGGGCTCACAGAGCTGAGGTGTCACACAGAAGGTGTAAGAAAGAGGCATGAGTCAGAATGCTCAGATTCTGTGTGGTGTCACTCTGCCACCTGCTGGCGGAGCGTGAAACATACTTGCAGCCTGACCTTCAAGTCATGCTCATTTGTCACAGTGATAACAGTTGTGAATGTTTTCACAGATGGCACTTAACACGGACATCTGGCCCAATATATTTCTGTTCCCTTGTTGATTCATTTTCCAATTATCGAACAATTTTGCTGGGGATTCTGTTCAGTCTGTTTAGCCTTTACTGTGAAGTATCTTTACTCATTATTTTGCAGAGCTAATCATTGATGTAATAATTGATTCATGAGCAACATTAAATCCAAATTTCCACCTTCTTCCTCTGCAGAATCATGAGTTTGTGGATGAACAGACGTTTCAGGCCAACTGCATAGAGATCTCTGTGACGAATAAGTCGGGCTCCCGAGCCTCTTCCCTGTCCTCATCACCGCACGGACTCAGCTCATGCTGCTCTCGACGCCACAGGAAGAAGAGCAGCTTCAGCCTGCCCAGCACAAACAACCAGGAGCTCAGCACCATACAGATAAGAGAGAGGCCTGTGACCAACAGGTAGGCTGTCTATTTTTGTCTTTGGTCTCTATATTGCTGTGTCTCTCGACACGCATACACACGCGTCCCAACAGCTGAATCTGTATCACTGTCCAGTGAAACATGTTTCTTCAGATTAGTTTATCAGTCAAACTCTTGGCTCTAAAAGAAATAAAGCTGAATGACCTACATAGAAATGCATGAAGTTCAGAACATTTAAGAGTTTAAAAGGCTATTTTCCTTATTTAATGTTATATGGTTTTTGTTTTTATATATGTTTGACATCATACTTGTGCAGTGCTTTTTCAAATTAGTCATGATTGTCCTAAGGAGCCACTTCACCCAAGTTATGGAAAATCATATTGCTATTCACTTGCCTCTAACTCTACTAGTACCCATCTACAGGCAGTTTGATTTTATTTGCCCTGGTTTGACGACATCTGTCTTTGACATTTCTGCTTCCAGCCTGATACTATGAAAGTGAATGGAAGGTGCCTCCAGGGTGTTCACGTAACTCTGGATATTCCCCAGAATATTTTTCAGTAAAGTGACTTTTTACCAGAAAAAAACCTCTCTCTGAAGACTGTTCTGTGGACTGCACAGAACAACTGTGACAGTGTGTCTGGAAAGATGGTTTTGGATGTTAGAAGCGGCACAAATGAACAACTCCATTATATGCATAACTTAGCACAATTATCAGAGCTGAACATCTCAAAGCACAGGCCGGTAAAACTTGAACGATTTGCATTTCTTGATACCACAAGGGCAAGTGAGAAAATTTTAATATATTGGGTGTGAAAAAAAATCATCCATTAGTGAGAAGTGCAAATTCTTTTTGTTGAGTTTGCCTGCCGTTACATGTGATAATAATAATTTGTGTGTGTGTGGTACTTGATTTTGTATGCAACAAGGCATACTTTGAGAAATGTAATGTTTTCTTGTGCAATCAAAAAAATAAACCCAGTA